GGGGGGGGGGGGGGACTTGTTTTTGTCTCGAAAGAGATTGGGGGCGTCGTGACTCGACAGCTACCCTCCTTCCGTCGCGTTCTCTCGGGGATTTTACTCCCCGCCTGTGAACGCTCCCAGCTCGTGGCATTCGTGTTGGCCGATGCACCTTGTATTGGAAGAGCATGTCGATGGTGAGATTGGCTTCGACGCGACTCTGTCGTGGAAAACAGGGAGTGGTTGGAGATGCGCCTACCGAATAATTCGTGTTTCGACTACACGGCAGACAACACGAGAAAACATCCATGTTTGTGTAACCGGCAGTTGAACGAGGCACGTCGGATATATGAACGAGGAGATATTACTGGTCGTCGATATCAATAAGGCAATCAAGACATGACGATGTGTGTGCGATGTATACACATCGTCCGACACGATGCGTGTTGACGACCAGGATAAAAAACGCTCCTGGTATTCCGATACCAAGCCTTGTGGATCAACACAACACCCCTTTTGATCGGAAGTAGGGGACGCAGCACATCCAGGGTCTTGCTTTCTCTTCCTTCCGCGGCTAAACGGAGTAAAAGCGAACTCGCGTTCGTCGCCGGACGCAAGAGTCTAGCATGATTTAGCCATGACTGTCCATGTTTCGTGGTGCTTCTCGAAGGATGGTCTGTGACCGCAAAAGCTACAATAGTCCATTTGCCTTGTGGAGAGCGGTAACGATGAGGAGGCCAATGGACTGAGCAATCGTTATGTGGCGAGACGACAGTAGCAAGACATATTTCAATACTTTGGAAACCCCCGTCTGTGTTCGCGGTACATAGGTTGCGGAGCAGAAGGTCGTGGAGCAGACGTTCCAGTCGAACAACAACTCCTTCGCGGGCCTGGACGGGTTCAAGGCGCCCCAGCCGCAGGGCATGGGAATGAACCGCCCCCTGTCTGGAATGACGGGTTTGTCGGGCGGCGCAGGGACGGGGATGATGATGGGAGGAGGTATGGGCGTCCAGCAGCCGATGCAGCAGCCGATGCAGCAGCCGATGCAGATGCAGGGGGGGTGGATGGGCGCCCCCCAACAAGGCATGGGCGGGGCGGGCGGGATGGGGGCTTGGGCACAACAGCAGCAGCAACAGCAGCCGGGGCAAGGCTTCGGCATGGGAGGAGGGATGATGGGAGGGATGCAGGGAGCCGGCGCCGGCGCTGGGGGTGCAGGAATGGGCATGGGAGGCATGCAGCAGCAGGGCGGTGCCGGGATGGGAGCCAACAAGCCGGCAGCGGCAGGGGGAGCAGCAGGGGGTACGACGATGCCCGGCGGATTCTTCTAGATGAAACCGTTTATCCGGTCGATAATGAATGGTCCAACACAATATTTTTGTGTTGGGTTTTTTTTTGTTTTTGTCTTATCGGTTTTCCTTCTTTTTTTTCTGTATTTTCTTGTGGCCTGCGTGTAAAGCTCGGCAGGTAGTTTTGTTATGGTGAAGCGCTGGACGGCACCGTGGGACTGATGGCGTCTTGGTACCGACTGCAATAAACGCTCGTGATGGTGTGTATTGCAACGGCGATAGCCGTTTGAGGGCGGAGGATAAAACGATATTTTTTTCGACTCGGAGGCAGATGTTTAGGGAGGCGCGTACAATATTGGCACGTAGATTGATCTCCCGCCGCCCCTGGCGTGTTTGGTCCATGATGCAACCTATTTTCATTCGTCATTCACCATTGTATGCGGGGCTCCAACTTTGTTGATGAGAGGTTTAGGTGTCACGTATGCGTAGGACAGCAGAACGGTATGGACCATTTGAGGCCCTGCCGGTGGTTTGTTGTAGCCGACGCCCATCCCCCGAGGGGGGGTTTCCCAGCGGTTCGCTCGCTGTGCTTTTGTTAAAACAAGTTAACGTTTCGGAACTGGGAGCTCTATGGTTTGTTGTGCACAACGGCACCACGTAACAATATCCTGGTCTGGCGCAAGACTTTTCTTGCTGTTTTTTCCCCCCGCTCTGTGGCGGAAGCACAAGGGGATTTTTATAGCATACTACGAGTAGGTTGAAAGGCGCACGCGTGTCAGATGATTTGAAGGCACTTGTTGTCTGTTGTACTTGGGCCTGAAGTTCACTCATCTATCTACTGTAGATTCCATTTCTGGAAAGTTCTCCAGTTCTCCGCTCAAGGCAGTGTCGTGGTACAGGCTGTTCCTATGCCTGTTTTCTCTCGCCACATACGCCGGCATTTGCTTATTGCTTTTTTGAAAGCAAACCTAATCTCACAGAAAGACTACCCGTTCGAGATATAACACGAGTCGAAAGGGATGCGCCGTGAAGTCCTTACGGTGAGGGAGGGAAACTGGCTTTTCACACTCAGCACCGTGAATACGGTGACGCTCAGACCGAACCAGACAAAGGGTTACCGAAAGCACTCTGTATTCGTTCGTTCCGTCTGGTGCTTGGTAAAAACCCTACCCCCAACCACGCCAACAGTACTCTGAGAGCGTTCCGGCCGGTTCACCAGAGGAAAACACTTAAGCCCATGATGGCGCCTTTTTGGGCGCCATTCGTGCGAAGCCGCTATGTACATACTGAGGTCCTGCGCCGACCACCAGCCTCGCTTTCTTTAAACACAGAAAGACTACCGTTCGAACTAAATACACCACAGTTGAAAGGGATGTGCTAAAGTATTTTCAGTAAGTGGAGGGAAACCGGCTGGAAACTGGGCTTATTTTGAGTCTTGAAGCCTGTGCACTGAATAATACCACTGATGATACCACCAGCTGGTGCAGCTGCTGTAGGTAGATACATTTCGCATCCCCTGTATGTTGCACGTGGCACAGAAGGTGGACGTGTGTGTGCTGGTTGGTTGGTGGGATAGATTGGTTCATGCAAATTACTTCAATATGGCACGACACCAAGATGCACATTCGCAAGGCGGGGAATAGAGCGGGACGTCCTTCCTGATTTTGGGTCGAGCCAACTGTTTTTTTTAGCTGGAACAAGAGGGAGGGGGGGGAAAATGGCATCTGTGTCTTAGATCATGCTAACCAAGAAGACGTCGGGGCATACTTAACCGTGAGCCATGGACGACCTTTGTGACTTGGTGCAGGAGGGAAAGCGCAAGGCGAAGCAGGGAACAGTGAGCGAGAGAGAGGAGAAAAGGGAAGAGAGTAGAGTGAGGGGGTTTGGCGGCGAGATCGATGCCGATTGGCGGCAGCGGCGTAACCTCGTCAGCCCCGAAATTTGAGTGCGCTGTGCGCTGGCGTTCATTGGTATTCAGTCCGGGCACACGAGGACGAACGTGATTTGTACAGGGGCGTGCGATGAATGTTTCGTGGTGTGTGCACCTTTTCATGTGTCCATTTCTCAAATCAAAGCAAGCGCAGTTTCAAAACGTGTAAAACTCTCCGCGCTTCTTTCTGGGCGGGCGGTGACGGCGTGACGGCACATGCAGGAGACTTGCTGTCTTCGCTGCTGCTGTGCAAGAGATGGCCGAATACTACGAAGCGCTTGTGCTTTTTGACTACCAGCCGGTCTCGATCGACGAGCTCCGCCTGTTCGAGGGCGAGCTGGTAGAGGTACGGGTTGGTGGGGAAGGTGTCGGCGAGGAAGAAGGGTGGCTCTACGGGTCAGATCAGAGGGGTCGCCATGGAACATTCCCGGCCAACTATGTGACGGACGCTAGTACCGCCGATGCCGTTGCTCAGACCCTCCCCGGCGACAGCACTGACGCCAACAGTGGTGGGACCAGCGTCATGTCCGCGGCTCTGCCAGGCGGAATCTGGGGTGGTGGGCATACATCTCCTACCGACTTGCAAGACGACCAGGCAACGGCGCGCGCGACGGCGAGCCTTGGTCCTGCGCGCGGTGGGCTTCGGGATGACGAACCCGTTGGAGCAGCGAATTACCCTGGTTCAAACGCAGACAGGGAGGCTTTCACATATCAGGGGGAACAAGAACGAAGATCACACAACCTATATACACCCGCCACCTCTGTGCACCAACAACACGACCACGCTGTAGACGAAGCATCCCGGCCAGAACCGACGACCCACAACAGTGCTATCGTGGAGGACGGCGTTGTCTCTGATTTCTATCGGCTGCCAGATGGATGGTTTCCGGCTACAGATGAGGCTACGGGGGTGGTGTACTACTACACGGAGGACGGGCAGAGTTCGTGGACAAGACCACCCGCCACGACTGCTGCTACCGTCGAGCCGTCATCGATGGTGCGCGGTGGGGATCAACTCAAAAGCAATGGCAACGGCACCACGTTGACCGGTGCCACTCCAAGCGCCAGTTCGCTGGATACCGTAGAAGTGAGCTTTGGTGTACCCGTGCTCTCCATCCCCTTGACCCAAACGGGCTCATATGATACTCGACGCTGTGCCCACCTCTTGGGTGAAAGATAGGCTTGAGCATCATTGGACTCTGACCGACAATGACGATCCTAGTAGTACGTTGCGGAAACAAACCCATGTCAGACCAATTATCGAGCCCGGTCATTCATTGCGTTCCACGAGAACACCGATTTCATTAGCTCTCCGATTCAGCTTGCGCATTGTCCACCATCACGCCCACTGCACCGATGCTGCTCTCCTTTTGCGATGCCGTCATGCCGATAAGACCCAAAAATTCGATGGCGGCGACGACGAGCAAGAAAGGAAGGCGAGAGATCTAGCGGCGGCGCGTATCCAGGCCGTCGCTCGCGGGAAGCGTTACCGGAAAAACAACAACAACAGCGTACAAACAAAGGCCGTGGCCCACAACGAACACAAAGAAACTGAAGCAGGGATATCCGGTGGGCCGAATGGTGGCGGCTGGCATAAGTATGCCGGTGACAACGCTGACAATGGCAGCGTCGCAGCAGACAGGGGGGGGGGGTTGGCCTGGTCGATGATAAAAACTGAAAAGGAAGTATCCGCTCCCCCGACCCTAAGCTCGGTGTCGCCGGAGACTGCTGCTGAAACCAGAGAGCACCAAGAAGCCAAGCTCGACAGAGGCGTGGAGAAGCTCATCCTGTCCTTGGTGGATGAACGGATCATGGCGAGTGAGCTGTAGATGTCCTGTTTCGCCCGCGAGAAGCTGTCAAGGATGTCCCGCATCACTTCATTCGTGGGTGTAGTCTGTGCCGCCGCTGCCCAAGAGTTTTGAGCAATTATTCCGAAAAAAGGAAGCATCTTTTGAATACGCGTCAGTTCGCTTGGTTCGCTCGGAATCTGAAGAGGTTTTCTGTACGGTTTGGTGCTTACTCGGCAAGGGTTTCGCCGGTTCCAACCGACCGCTACATAGGTTTCTGATTTCGTGCGGTTGGTGCTGCAGTGACTCTGGGGCGGCGGCTTCGGCGTGATGTAGCATCGCGAGTCTATGAGCCAACATCGCACGCAACGGTGTCGTACCAAGGAAAAGAGAAGACTGTCGGCCAGCAAAACGTACTGCATGGCGCCCGCAGAATCCGGTTCAGCAACAACAAAACACACGTGTGACGTTTTAGGGTCCCCTCTTCGCGATTCCGTCGGTACTTCCGACTGTTCTCATTTCGCCGTGTGCCCCCGTACTACGATTATCGTTTTGCTGTTTCAGGAGGAAATGCACCGGCGCGACGCCGTACTCTCGGACGTCCGAGAGACCTTGACGGTGCTCACCGATCGACTGATCGCGAAGTCGACGAAGAGGAAGAGCAAGCGGCCGCCTCAGCCTCCAGAAATCACAGTGGGAGGCAGCGAGCACGAGCTGTCTCCCCCGCCTACCTTACGGCGAGAGACGACAATGCCAGATGTTGAACCGCGGAGGCTCAAGAATAAGCCGGTCATGCGACCTGAAGTGCTACTCGGAACGACGGTGCAGTCACCTCCAAAATCAAGACATGCGACGACAAAAAATGCAGTCGGACAGTCTCTGTCCCAGCAGGAGCAGCACCGGCAGACAACACCTCAGTTGAACGACCCGACCCAACTGCGTGCTTCCCCTGGGCGTTGCAAGGCTGCTAGCCCTCTGCAATCAGCAGCTGACGGCCGCTCGATGGGTCAGCCCCCTTTCCGCGCCGGAGGTTGCATAGGCCATGGTCCTAGGGTTAGTGTCGACGG